CTGGGAGTTGAAGTCCACTCATCTTAAAGTGGCCACGTTTGGACAACACTGGTTTAAGCAATGGCAACTTTTACTATAATACCTGAGTTCCGCAGGAACAAGTCTGGGCCACCAGATTTTCCAGAATGTTATAGCTGATCATCTCTTTTCCACTGTATTGTATTACCATCCTCTACATCTCCTACTACACCCCCCTCCCCGAAAATTATGTATCTAAATATTTTATTCTCTTTTTGTTCTGCAGCCGCTAAAGGCTATAGAGAGCTTCTTCCTAATCACAGCTCTTTCTGGTGCACTTAAAGATTCTCTTGGGAAAACCAGTGCCTTGTGCCAAATTGCTAAGCTCCTTCTCCAGCTGGAGTGTCCCAGTTATGCTGAGGTGAGTCTGAAGAATTTTATTTTTAGATGTTTTATCCACCCTTTATTATTTTTATAAATAACTCAAGGCGGCGAACATACCTAACACTTCTTCCTCCTCCTATTTTCCCCACAACAACCGCCCTGTGAGGTGAGTTGGGCTGAGATAGAGTGATTGGCCCAAAGTCCCCCAGCCGGCTTTCATGCCTAAGGCAGGACTAGAACTCACTGTCTCCTGCTTTCTAGCCTGTAGCGTTCACCACTAGACCAAACTGGCTCTAAAGAATAGTGTGCTAACAGCACAAATATTCCAACAGACCACTCATCATATGCCCACATCTTTGTTTATAGCTGATTGTTATGCTGTGGGTCCATTTAGCCCAGCACAGTTTGCCTGGCAACCACTGTTGAAGATCTCTCTTTCTCTCTCTGCCCACGCCTACAACTAAAATTCTGCAGCTGGATATGTCTGGAATTGGATCTTGAACTTTATGCACTCAAAATACATAGTTTGCTAAAATGGGCCCCAGAAAGTTGTAAGAAAGTTGGAATTTAGTGGATTTCTCCTGATTGTTATCAAATGTTGATTTACTATCTTTAAATTTCTTTAAAATACTGTAAAAATAACATTGAAAATGGAAAAAAAATCATAGTACAGCAAAAATCCAGATTCAGATGTCACAAAGGAATATCTCCTGTCTATCACGAAGGGAGGAATAAGAGGGAAGAAAGTAGACTATACATAAATATTTTGTTTGTTCATAGTAAACTAGGATGACCCATGGAAGCAGGCTTGTCATTATGTGCAAATAATAATAATATAATTTATTAAACTTGTATGCTCCCTGACTCCCAATGACTCTGGGTAGCACACAACAATTAATAAAGAAATTAAAATAAAATCAATAAAACATAAAAGATAAAGATAAAAGATGGCAAGCGCAACAGACCAGATGGAATGAAGCAAAGGGTCTCATTCTCCCTTGCCAAACACCTGGGTAAAGAGCCAGGTCTTCACGGCTCTTTTAAATAACAGCAGAGTGGGGGCTATCTGGATTTCACAGGGAACCTCATTCCAGAGGGCAGGCGCTGCTACAGAGAAGGTGCACGTCCTGGTCCTGAGAGATGACATTGTTTAATTGAAGGAACCTAGAGTGCACTAACCCTGCCAGATTGGATCAGCTGGGCAAATGTTATGGGAAACAGGTGGTCCTTAAGTAACCAGGCCCTATGCCATATAGGGGTTTATAGGTGACACTTTTAATCACACCCAGAAGCAAACTGGTAACTAATGCAGCTTGCGAAGCAGAGGTGTTACATGGGCATACCAAGGCATGCCCATTACTGCTCATGCCATTGCATTCTGGACCTGTTGAAGCTTCTCGGTGGTATTCAAGGGCAGCCCATGTAGAGTGTATTGCACTATTACCAGGCTTCTATTATATAAGTTGCTCAAGAGGGGAAGTTCTATCCCACATTCTAGAGGGGGAGGTGTATGGGGGACAACCTCCTCCTTGAAGGATTTCTTACAACTTAGAGTCTTTAGGCTGCTGAGATGAATTGCTGGTGGTCAAATATTAGCTAAATTCTCTCATTAAATGCTAATGGGCTACCCATTCTGAAAATGTCCTTTTTTCCCTTTTCTTTTAGACTGTTTTAAGGGAAGCTGAATTATGCCTGAAAAATGTGGATGAAAATAATAGCTCCTACTTGCTGATGAATCAAACATTGGCTGTGCTCCATAGCAAGCTATATTTAGCAAATTGCAAGGTATTTGTGGTAGAATGCCTTCATGTATGCATTGCAGAACACCAAGACTGGCAAGCTGATATGCTGAAAAATCTGTAGTTAAACTATATTAGCCTTCATCCAATCTAGTGCCCTCTAGATTGTCCGGGTTAAGTTCTATTCACCTGTGAGCCAGGATGTCTATTGATTCTAGTGGTATCTAGTATGACAGACTAGAAAGCAACATGGTTATCATGCTTCTCTAGAGTCACAAAGGGAGGCTGTCATTGTTGTAGTTAATATTTGGTTCTGCTATTGAAAGTTAGTTAACCTTCTTGTCTAGATACTACTTCTTATGCTGTGCTTATTTGTTGACCTGGCAAGGAGGCTCATTGTGGCTAGACCACCATCTTGTTGTCTTCAAGATATGCAATTGGGTACCTTTTTGAATTATAGCTAGAGGCCAACATCATTACAATAAATAGCAGTGGCATCCTTCCACCCCTAGATTGGCCATAAATCTAGAGCAAATGGTGTACCCTATCCCTCAAAATGCTGCTGAACTACCTTCCAACAGCTCAACCAATGGTTAGGGATGCTTGGAGTTCTAATTCAGCAACAACTGGAGGTTATCAAAAAAATTTTTAATTGTTATTGAGGACTTGTAATCATTGCCACCTGTATTAGTAAATTTTATCTTTTGATCATTCCTGGTAAATCTTGTTATAGCATTTTCACTATCACATTTCTCTATATTTTAACATTTTTTTTCTTAAGAAACATTGTTGGCATACTTTTGTGAAAAGATTATTAAATGTATTTTCAAGTAGAAAATTATTTATAAAGTCTTCCTCCTGAATAACAAGAACTATAGCTGATAGAAGTAGTGCAGCAGAGATCCATATGGCTTAGTAGAAAAATAAGGAACCAAGATTTCTGGCACCATGGGCTTGGCACTTCAAAGTCCCCGAGTGATTCTGGGAAGCAAACTACTGCAGAAAGCAAGAAATTGACCCAGCCACCCTTTCTTAGTTTATTCAATCTACAAAGAAACAAAGAAATACAAGGTATTTCTATATCTTATAGAAACAAAGAAATATAGGGTATAATCTACAGCTACTTTGTAATTCTCAAGAAATATCTCTGGAGTTGTCAAATTATCAGTAATCTGATCCATGAGTTATTGAAAACATGCATCAAAAGTTGGCTGGCTGACTTTGCAGAATGGAGAACGGTCTTCTTAGCAATTGATCTTTCTTCCCCTTTTCTCTTTATGAAAAGACTGAAGAAGGCCTCAACCTGTTGGTAGAAATCCTTCAAAATCCAGCTCTGCAAAGGTCCTCTAAGGTCTGGTATCTGCTGCGAGCCAGTGCTCTCCAGCTAACTGCTGCTTATCTTGTCCTGCCTTCCTCCACATTCCCACTGGCACTCAGGCAAAAGCTCTCTGCTCGAGGTGAGTGTGAAAATCTGTGTTCCCCTCTTCCTTTCAAGTGTAATATGTTTCATACTTTTAAGCATCTGTCCATGTATAGGTAGAGAGCTTGGAGCACTTTGTGTAAAATGGCAGTGCAATCCATTCTGAAAGGAGATTTCACCCTACAGTTTTTAAGATCCCCAACTGGTCCTGAAGCTGGCTTTCAAACCTAGAGCACTAAGCAGTATGGAGCAAAAAGCAGAAAAGGAAATGACTGCTCTACATTCTCAGGGCAGCTGTATTGGTGGTGGTTGTAGCTATTTGGAAATTCCATCCATCTTGCAGGGGAGGATGGATGGTTAAAAGTGGGAATTAGTGTTTGCCTCCTAGAAGCTCTCAGTTCCAATTCTCATCCATAAAATGTCAAAAATGGGCCATTTGGGAAGGTGTTTACAAATCATTCCATTCTTACCCTTAAAATTCCAAAAAATATGCCATGCTTCTGGAATACTTCACCATTTCATTGAATGGTCTCTTTGGCCCTTAGAAGGTTGGGAAACTAGGTAGTGGTAGATTTGCCACGAAGAAAACCAGCTTATCACTTAGATGTGCAATCTTAGGAAAGTATTCTAGGCTGCATTCTTGTGGCTAAGGTCCAGTGTGTGGATTTTCTATGTGCCTGCTAACAGTGTTGTGTGGACCACTACTTTGTCATCTAAAGGCAGCTACTAGTCCCCCAACTAAAATATAAATTAAATTAATTTTAAAAAAGAAAAACAGTCTTGTGGGATTTTTCTTATTTAAGTTATGTTCTTAGTTTTGGTATATGCAGAAATTAAGGACCATCTGCAGCTATGGTCCCAGGCCACAGGTTGGGAGGAATGGTTCTCAATAATACCTATAACACTCCCCAGAAATATCAACAACAGAGAGATCCCATTGCATGGATTTCTTGGAGAAATAATTTCTCAAAGCCAAGCTGTTTGAAGAATATAATGTTTTTCTCTTTCACTATGCAGGATGGAAGACACCTGAAATGGCTCTAAGTGATGCACACCGATTGTACCGTAGCATCCTCTTGAACTTCTCACTCATTTCCAGTGATGCATCGACAAAAGAGTCTCTTGAGAATCAATTTATAGATCATGGTAAATGATTACTGCTTTTTTATGTGTGTAAGAGCTCTCGCTGTGTCTAAAAGCCTGTGATCTTGAAGCTGTCAGCTCTCTATGTCTTTTCAATTAAATTTACATAATATAAAGACTGAAAATATCTTTTTGTACACTATCTGAAAGCTTGGCAACCCCTTAACGTTGGAATTCCTTTTTCTAAGAATTTAGAGAAAAGGCCAACTATCACATTGTTTGCTTCTTTGTTCTCTTGGTCCATTTACTAAGTTTGCATATTTAAAAGAGTGGGCTTAAGAACATGTGGGTCGTGCTCACCTAATTTTTAGAAATGTGAAAAGCCTGAAGAAAACTTTCAGGATATATACTGGCAGCAGTTCTCCATGAACATAGATGGTTAGGGTCTGCTACCTGATACTGTCTTAATTGGAGACCCAAGAGATTTGAACCTAAGGTTGCTAAGCATCTACTCTATCATGGAGCTATTAACCTAAAGTACTTACTGTGCCAAGACATAATATAGTTTGTTGGATTTAATGTGGGTTTTTTTTCAATTCAGCCATTATGACCATTATGTGTGATAAGTGAATCCAGCCAGTTGTGTTAGATCCAATAAAACCTGAGTTAATGTAATATTTGTGTCTAGTCATGGGCTTTCCCTTTCAGCAGAGCTCTGCACTGCCCTTGGTTTTTATTTGCTCTTCCTTACCCCCAAAACACACATTTCAGTTTGGACACGGATCACCCATGCAGAACTTTACCATGCAGAGAACGTTTTGCACATTTTTTCTAAGAGGTTAAAAAGAAAAGTAAGGAACTTTTACTTCCTAGACAATGCATCAGTGGATCTGCATTGCGTATCATGTTAGGCCACATGACCACATCAACATGCATTCCTCCTGGCTTTACGTTAGCAGAAAAGTACACAGACATAAATTACTCTGTAATTACTCTGAGGCTAGAGAGTGCTGCTGTCCTTGCTGTTTTAATGCAGGTAAGTTCAGGAAAGTGATTGATGGAGTGCCCTGGCTTCCCTCCCACCAATATCATCTGCTGGTGGGAAAAAACACCACTAACTGCTTTCCTTAAAATGTGTTGGGGAGTTCTTGAGTGAATATAGATGGCTGCCTAGGAAGGAAGACTTTCACAAATGAAAGAACAGCAGACATGTCCAAAAATGTGACTGATAGTGAAGAGGAGCACTTGCAAGGAGAATCAGGGATGCTCCCTTCAGCTTCACCCAGTGCCCATCTGCCATTTTGTAGCCTGTCAGCTGGGCTATGTCTATTGCCTGCCAAGAATTTGTACAAGTGCTTGAACTTCTCTACATATAGTTTGCTGCAAGTGAGTGACCAAGGAGTCCAGTTCTGAACTTATGGCCAACAGCTCTTAGGGGTAACCCATAGAGTCTATAAAATGGCATAAGAGGAAAAGGAAAATGGGGCACCCCATAACAAAAACAATTAGAAGCCTGATCTTTAAACCTTCATTTGAAACAGAACCAACAAAATATGCCTAGCTAAATCCTGCTCTCTTTCCTAATGTAAATCAATCTATGCAGCACAGGACTATCACCAGTCCTTTTTAACACAGGACTGATGCTCTTTCAAAAAAGTATATAAGAATACTATGTGATGGCTGACCTGACCAACATTTTCTAAAAATCTAGACAGATATCACATGGGCATTTGCTTCTGTGAAAGCCAGGTGTCCACTTTGTCTTGGAACACAAGCCAAAATTGTCACAGAGGGCAGTGCCCAGCTCCTGGAAAGGAGAATGTGCCCACAGCAGGGTGAGGTGGACAGTAGGAGCTGGACAGACCTCAACCCCTGTCCCCTACCAGTAACCAGGTCATCCATTAAGGAAGCTGGATCATATGCATGGGCTAAACTGTCAGGAGAAGGGGGGAAATGCTACTTTAAAACTGGAATAGTTAAAAACAACTTTAAGCTGCCTTCACTTAGTTTGGAAGTTGAGAGGAAGGCAACACTGAGAGCAAGTGCAATTTAAAAACAATTTGTCGGGAAACTTTGTATCCTGGTTAGAAGAACATGAGGATGAGCCCATTGCCTCCCAGTCATTGTGAAAAATCCAGGTACCGCTACATTCCAGAGGGAGCCTGCCTTGTTCTCCATTTAGTTATGATTACTTTACATTCAGTGATTGCCTTGTATGTCTCTGTTTTGGTTAAACCAATAATTTAACAATTTTTGGGTAAACTTAACATTTGGGGAAAACAAGTGTCAGAGTAAGTGTGGCGATGATGCAAATGGGAAAGACTGCACATACCCAGCCAACTATTTTCTCTCTCTTTTTTTCCTAGGCTTTGGGGAAAGTTTTAGGGGTTTTGGTGTTTCATTATCTATATTAACCCAATTGTAAAGTATGTACTATAATATATGTTTGGCTTCCAAATGTCATGAAGAGCATTGATTTTTGATGGTGATAATGATGGTGATGATAATAACGATTGGAAGAGACTTTAGGGAATCTCAAAATGGGTATTATGGGGGCCAACTGTGATCTAAGTGGAATTTTGCTCATGTTCCACCATGCTTTATATTTTTCACTGTCAGAACCACTTAGTACCTCAGCTTATGTTCATCTTTCCCACCTCCGCATAAAGCTTTCCCTTTCCCTTTTCTCTTTTTTCCTTCTCTTCCTTATCAGGTGACAACCTGGTGCAGAAGTGGCAGGTGCTGGCTGACATGTTTGTTTGTTCGGAGCATTTTGTGTCACTCCTTAGCAAGATTGAGACTGTAAGTGAAGCCAAAGCTTTCTGCCTGGAAACGCTCAAAATTTCCATGAAGGTGCAATCAATTCGATGGTAAGAAATATAAATAAAACAAAAGGAGCAGAATTATGGGAGATTACAGACTTTGAATTAAACTGAATTTCTAACCCTTCACAAAAACATAGACTATTTCTGGGTTCCCAGTTTGCCTTGATATAGAGCTAATCATTTGAAATACATGGGGATTAATAAAATATTATAGTTATTGTTGCTGTTTCTATTATTACTGGAGGTTATCTAGCAAGAGTAATGATAACAATAGGACTACAGATGGTTTAAAAAGAATTGCGGGTAATGTATATAAGGTTGGGGGCATCTGTTAGTGAATGCCAGCTGCAAATCAAACATGTGAAATGTTGACTAACAGGACAGCTGAGCCTACCAAAACAATGAAGGCTGCCATCTTGTTCCAGAGGCTAACGTGTAGCTTCTGGCCTTTCTCCTCAGGTGTGCTCGCTTTCTGGTTCTGAAGAGTGAACTGGAGCTACAGCGCAGCAATCTGGATCTGTATGGCTCAGATCTTGAACAGGTTCTCTTTCTTCTTGAATCAGGCACAGGTGAGGAATCTAAGCAGGGTTGAATGGCAAAGCTCATAGCTTTTTGTTGCAAGAAGTAGTATGTTAGCCTGAGTGGGTTGATCAACCATTCTATTAAAAATCAAAAAAACCAACTAGAGTTCCAGGTTGATAGACTGTGTTTCATTTCAGGCTGCATTTATTTAAGCTGTGTTTCAGGAGTAACAGAGGGTAAAAAAAAGAGGAATTGTTTCAGGGGAAAAAGACTGCTCTACATAAAAATAGAGCACCAACCTGTTGCCCTCCTGATGACTAGTGCCATCTCTCACCACCACATATTGTACAATGAAGCCATAATTTGCAGAGGATTCATTCTCAAATTATGAAACAATAATTTGAGTACAGATTTGTACTCAGATTCAAGTAAACTTCACAATAGAGGTAGATATCGGGAAGCAAGACATCAGAGGATGCTGTCCTGGGGGCTTCAACATAATGCCCCTGGCAAAACAGAGCTGTTTGATCAAAATGACATATTTTTTTTCTTCATTTATATTAGGGATAAAGAAATATACTTTAAAATCTTGCTTCCACTGGCCCAAAATAATAAACTTAAAGAGTTCTTATATTGAGGTTATCTCCTTTTATTGTAATACAAGTGCAATATCTTAAACTTGGGTTGATGGGTATTATGTTCTGTATCATCAACTCAGGACCAGTTGATTATGAACCATTAGAAATGTATTTAACAATATTATAGTTTGTAGGTTTTTCATTTGGCTAAGTTCATTGCAAGGGGAAGAAATTGCCAAATGAGCCTCTCTCTCTTGTTGCTAGTGTTTGAAACCAAAGAAGGAAAAGGAGAAGTGAGAATCAAGCCCAAGAAAGGAGGCCCTAAGGGCAAGAAGTCCCAAAGCCTGTGCTTGGAGCCTTCTGAGGAAGAGCAGTCTTTCTTGAGAGAAGCCTGCCTTGAATTCATTGACACAGTCCCTGGACAGAAGACTCTAACTACTTCACCAGTACTGAGGCCAAAGTTGAAGAAACAGCCCAGCTTCTTGAGCCACTCAGATATGTGCTGCTGTTTGCTGTGTTCTGATGTGGTCCTCTCCACCATCTGCCTCCGCTGGCTGGTCATCTCTGCAGATGGAGAGCTGACATTTGGGAACAGAGTGGAAGGGTTGCATCTCCTTGAGGCCATTCTGCAACGGTGCACCACTGTGGCTCAGCGCATCTCCCACATGGTAGCATGTGTATCTCAGTGGGAAAACAAGAAAGTTATTGCTCCATGTCAGTCAACAGTTGGGCTCCTTGATGGCCTGATGGCCCATATCTACGTGCTTCTGACAAAACAAAGCATGAATAGCAGTAGGCCAGGAAAGAAACTCTGGCAGCTTCTGGAGAAGGGTTTGACCTTTCTTTCCTCCAAGGGGCCTCAACTGCTTGAACTTGAATACCGCAGGGCCCAGCTACTACTTGCCAGAGCTGTGGCTGTGATTTCTGTTCTCACCTCCAGACAAGACAATTGCACAGAAAATATGCTGTCTAGTACCTGGTCCTGGAAATCCCCATTGCCTCTCATTGGAGACCAAGAAATCAAGCCAGGAACAACAGTAGAAGAGACCTTCAATACAGTTCATGCACTGTCCCTGACAAGCAAAACAAAGAAGCAGCCAGGACCTGCCTCAAAACTGAAGTCTAAGAGACTAAGGACCAAACCACACCCTGCAATCAACCCAAATGACCCCTTTGCCCTGGCTGACTCAGATTCGGACACTCCTCCCATTGTTCTTAGGCCCCCTGTTGAATCCTTCTGTACCCCAGCACAAAAATCCCTTCCAGTCTCCAAGACAAGCCTGTTCTTAACTGCCAAGTCCACCATCACCCACAAGGCTCCATTTGTGGTTTTTGAGGAATCCTCTCCGAAACTGAACACTGAACTTCCAAAGGCTCCCAAAGTAACCAGGAGAATGAAATCCCGGATTAAGGTAACTTGATTAACTTAAGGGGTGGGGTACCATGCAATTAAAAAAGGTTTGACATTGCAAATGAATAAACAGGTAGTTCTAATAAAACGAAGGATATTTTGCTTAGATGCTGCATATATATGTATTGATTGAAGCTTGTTTTAGAAGCATTTTTTCCCATATGAAGATGAAAAAGGAATTTCTACCTCATGCAAGTACAGATCATATAAGTTCCTCTTGCAGGTTGGCTTCATGAAATATATTTACTAATTGCAAATGCATTAGATCTGTAATCAATATGTTCCTTGTGAGTTACCTATGGCCATTGATATATTGGTGGTCTCAAGCCCCCCAAGAGTCTTAGCCAATGGTTGGGCAGGATGAGAGTTACATTATTATTATTAGATTTTTATCCCAACATTCATTTATTTATTTATTTTTATTTTTTATGTATGTATGTATGTCAACTCAAGGCTGCAAACATACTGTCTAATACTCCTGCCTCCTGTTTTCCCAACAACCATCACCCTATAAGGTGGTTTGGATTGAGAGAGAGTGACTGGACCAAAGTCCCTCAGCCGGCTTTCATGCTTAAGGTAGGCCTAGAACTCACAGTCTTGTAGTTTCTAGGCCGGCACCTAAACCATTATGCAAAACTGGTTCTCTATTCCAAAACAAAAACTAAAACAGGTTCCCTTACCTGGATTAGGAAACATGATTATTATATGGTAGATCTATAGCCTCAAAAAAAAAAAAGCCCACAATTGAAGAAGTTTACATCAGCATTCTTTACTTCTGCATGTTCGTTGTAATTGGTTACTTCCACCATTTGATGGTATATAACTTGAAATGCGTACAAACCTTTCTTTACTTGGTTTCTAAACTTTTAAAATACAGGTAGCCTTGCTTAATCCTAAGTGAGACCAGAATTTCCATTGCTAAGCGATGCGGTCATTTGGTGAAACATCATGTGACCACACTGCTTAGTGATGGCAGTTTTGGTAGTTCTGGTTGCAGTTGTTAGGCCACATGCTTCTGCCCTGCAGTGCTCATCTCCGCTTCAACTGCCCCCAGCTGACCTTTGCCGTCTTCTTCCACCTGCTGCTGGCGAGGCATACCTGGCCTGGCCTGGCCCTTCACAAAGCCTTCCCAAAGCCTTGCCTCAAGAAGGGCACGCACAGCTTTGGGAAGGCCTCATGCCACCAGCAGCTGCCTCATGAAGGGCCAGGCCAGGCACACCTTGCCAGCAGTAGGCGGAAGAAGACGGCAAAGGTCAGCTGGGGGTGGCAGCAGAGTGTAGGGCAGCCCAAAGGGGAGAGATGGTGGGGAGATAGGTGGGGGTGAGTTGAAGCACATGCTGCGGTCATAAATGCAGGTGGGCTGCCAAGGGCCCAAATTTTGATCACGTGATCATGGGGGGGCTGCAACAGCTGTAACTTTGAGGACCAGTCATAAATACCTTTCATTCAGTGCTACTGTAACTTCGAACAGTCCCTGAATGAATGGTCATTAAGCAAAGACTACCTGTATTGCCTTACAGAGGATGCCTTTTTAGTTTGATGAAAAACCATTTTTTTATATATAAATGCACGTGTGCACACACACATACTACATTCATAACACTTCCATGAATAAATACTGCAGTCCAGGTATTTAGTGAATGTAACAATTGCTTTACTTAATGAGACTATATTCTGTTTATCATCTGGCTTCTTGCCCTCAGTAGCAGTCATTCTCTTGCCTTTTCAAGTTGACAAGGAAGGTTACAGCTGGCTTTTGAGCAGGTGATAGTGAGACTACTGCTTCTGCACATGGGGGTTTCATTGAGATGTCATAGCTAAAAGCTTTTTAAAAAGGAAAAGAGGCTTAAGCACACATTCATAGAAAGATCCATGACTATTTTTCTGTTAATGTGCTGTACTCCAGCTTACATGAGATAATTATGTATTGTGTAGGTACTTTTTTCTTGAATTTACTGTACTGAGAATTAATTTCCATAGGGTCATGATCTGAATACCAGTATTATAAGGGAAATTAATGTATCTGTTCTTCCAACACTTTTTAATACCATTGTTTGCAATTTTTCTCCAGATTGGTGACATGGACTGACCATGTTACTTTGGGGTAATAGTTGTAGTCTGACACATCTGGAGGAAATAAAATAAGGCATTTCCCCCCCAACTTCTTTAATTATCCCTTATCAAAACTAAAATAACCACAAGATTTTATAGTGAAGATAACACAACACCTTAGATACATCAATTTTCATCTTTTAACTCTATGATAGTATAGCTTTTTTCCTGCTTGAGCAGTATCAACCATGCTGATATAATAATCTAAGAGCAGCCTTATTGGATTAGAACCATGGCCTAGCCCAGCGTGGTAACAGGGTTTTTCAAAGTAGTCAGTCAGACATCTCTAAGAAGCAGACACAGAACTTGAAAGCAAGACCTTTCTCCTGGTTGGATATTCTGCCTATTGTTACTCTGAACTACATTGCCTTTAGATTTGAAGGCAATTTAATAATGTTGTAGCTTGATCCTCAATTGTCTGGCCTCCTTACAAATGTCCAGTCTCCCAACACCAGTTCTTGTGTTAGCCAGTTCTCTTCCCAAAAGACTATTGTAAAGGATGAAGTGGGGAGAAATCCCATGTCTTTGTCATCCCCAGATTCCCTTCAGCGATGACAGTGACATTGAAGGACTTCCAGAAACAATGCCAGAATCCCAGTTCTGTGTTGATAAAGAACCAATGACTGCTACTCGCAGGACAGGGCAGAGGACAGCAACTAGTAAAAAACCATCTAAGCTGAGCCTTGCTAAAATGGAGAGGTGCAGTGCTAGCTCTTCACAGGAGTGCTCCAAAATGGCAAAGCCCCAGCTTGGGAGGCCAAGCACTAGGAGAGGCGCTAGACAAGGAAAACAAGACATCCAGAAAGTTTCTAACAAGAAGAGAATTCAGAGAGCCCAAGAAGATCAAGGAGAAGGAGAAGAAGAGAAAGAGATTCTAAGGACAAACGAGAGTTCAGAAGACAATATTGAAGTCTTGAGAGGTTCTGATGAGGAAAAAGCTATTAAAGGTAGGCTTGGTCACTTGGAGAGCAATGTTGTGAAAATAGCAAGCAAAAACTAAGGGCTGAGCAGACTGACTTTTGCTATTCATATTAGCGAAAGTGCAAAATGTTGAGGCAGAAATGCAGCTAGCTGAGAAATGGAGCTGAGATTGTGGGTACATAAATAAGCACCGTTTGAACTGAGGAACTGGAGGATACAAGGTTTCTGTCAGTCTCTTCTTCTCCCCATCTGCTTTGTTCCTTCCTTCCTTCCCTCCCTTTCTTTGTCCCATGCTTTGAAGCACAGCACACCCTGGACTCCAATGGATGTGGAGGTCTGTTAAATGCAAACTCTTAAGGTACTTGGAAAAACTTCAGGGCAAAGAGGAAGGAAAGGAGTCAATAGAAAAATCTGTTGAAGTGGAATTATAATGTACATCCAAAATTTATCTTTGGAAGGCTGATTTCTGATCCCAACTCCCTGCTTACCTCAGATAAACCTCTTGCCTTCCCGGTACAACAGTTATGGTAGCCAAGTGAGAAAGGAAATATTCAGGCCTTGCTTCTCTAAAGCTTTATATTTCTACCTGGCATTTTTAAAACTGATATTTTATGAGGCTCGGCATTGTCATCTCTGTCTACTGGGATTACATCATGAGGGTAGCTGAATATTTCAACTTACCTGAACAGAAGCCTCCTTACTTTCAAGTATATGACTGGATTTGCAGCTGTAACAAGTCAGTTTTAGTCCACATAGATGATACACAGTAAATTGCTAAATCAACCTTTTCTAGATGGTTGCTGTCCAGATATGCTAGACTTCAGCATCCCTGCCTTAATACTTGAAGGCATCAAAAGGTTGAGTTTTCAGGTTTTGTGGAATTGCAGCTAAGGCACAGATTATCATCATAGCCCTCAAAGGCAATATTTGACATCTGGCTTAGACAAGCTGGAGGTGTTTTGCTGTTTTGTTTCTTTATTCTCTGCAGGAAGTCGAAGGCAACCGAGCACAGAAGAAGATCAAGAGGTCCTCCGGAGAGATGTTAGCACTGTCTTACAAGGAGCATTTTCAGCTACAGAGAAGAAAGCTTTGGAGGATCCCTTCAACCTGCATGCACTTGCCTCCTCACTGGATGCACCTGCTGGTAAAGAGCCATTCAAATCTGTTTTCTCTCAACTCTTCCTTTAAAAATTATAGGATTGTTGGAAAGGTTTACTTAAACCAAGGCTTCCACAATATAGTATGACAACCTTTTCAGCTCTTCTTTTAGCAGAGAAGTTTGAATTCTGATATATTTGTGGATCATTTATTTTTAAATTTCGATCCTGGCTTTCACTGCTACAGTTGATCAAATTTAGTCTATTGCCTGTGTTTCTTTTCTAGTCTAGTGCCCTTACATGTACTCTTCTGATGACCCCCTAACCATTGGTTGTTCTGGTTATGGCTGATAAGATGAGGAACTGAGAGCATCATTGGAGGGCACTGGGCTGGGGAAGGCTGAGTTAGAGTATCAGCAATACTGTGTGCAATTCTTCCACCGTTACTTGCTTCACCCAGAAGTTTCCCCAAGCATTAATCCACAGATTTCACCCTATGCTTGCAAAGCTAATGACTCAGAATTCTTAGATTACTAACAAATTATCTGACTTCTTGGTACTAGTAATATTGAGTCATAATAAGCATTTTTATAGTATTTTCTGGGTGTCAAAAGTATTTATCTATAGTTTATAGGTCTGTAAGATTTCAGTATTGTTCCTTACATTATAGATAGGAGAATTGAAGCAAAAAGAGATGACTTATTTAAGTCTACCCAGTTCAGCCTTACATTTAACAACTTGCCTGGTTAGCAAAGGGCATTAGAAATTTAATGAAAGCCACATGGCTAGGGAAGTTCCCATGATAGCAGTAGGCAAACCAGCTGAGGAGTGATTAATCATTCCACATGGTTTTCATGCTAGCGGGAGAAAAAGTAAAATTTGTTTCCCCGTGACAAACACAGGAATCAGGTAGGCTACTTGAAAGAAAGTAGGTGTTTAAAATTTGCTGAAAAGCTAGTTGCTTGGCTGCAGAGAAAGTGCTTTGTGAATTTAAAACTGGGAGATGAAAAATCATATCAATACTGTCTTGAGCGTCTAGAAGGATGCGTAGACATGAGTGTAGACATAACATGAAACTTTGTGTAATAAGAACTTATTTCTGAATACATTCTGGTTGGTGTAGTCCAGATGTGTTGGCCTTCAGCTCCTACCATGCTAACATCGAATTATGACAGTTGAATTCCCATACATTTGGAGAGGGAACCATGTTACAGAAGTTGGGTAAATAGAATAGTACTGCAAATTCAAAAGGGGAATTAACTAACACTGTTAGGATATAAAATAAACTGACTAATCTGAACATAACTGCATTCTGCTTTTCACTGAATTTCAAGGTTTTTTTTCTTCCGTAATTTGCAACGTTACAGACATCTTGTCCATGGACTCAGTCTATGACTCCCTGCAAGCTGCTTTCCAGTCAATTGCCCATTATCCTCTGGGTGCCCTCTACAGCCATCTCTGTCAACTCATGGCACTGTGTATTGGGAACCGGGACCCCATTGCTACTGCCTATCTGGTTTCTGAGTCAGTCTCTATCACTCTTCGTCATCAGAAGATGACCATGATTCACAAGAAACTCAAGTAAGCTCATAGTGGTGAAGGGGAAAATGGGGACATGCTATCTATCAATTTGACGAGTATGGCAAGTGCAAGAATGTAAAAAACAACACCAAACAACCTTGTCCTTATGCACTGGCATGGTGAATATGGATCTGAACAAGGCTCCTGATTGGAAGGAGATAGTCCCAGAGTAGGAGCTCACGAAGATGCTTATCAGACAGCCTCTTTCAAAGGCAGGATTTTGCTATGATTTTACACCAAATGGAAAAGTGATTGCATCAGATGCAGCAGAACTGCCTATTCCTGTGAAGCTCATGAAAAGTAGGCCAGGTCAGATCTGTAAATCATGCAGAGATACAGTTGGCAGCCTTTCTTTGGGTATATACTTGAAGCTCCTATGAAGCTTGAATACCACTTGTTTCGCATCTCTGCTTTAGATGAACATTTAATGAACTGGCAGCTTGCAAAATTTCATGGTCTACTATTCAGAACAAAACTTCCACAGTTGAAACTGTGGACGAAATATTTAATACCTCATTAAATAAGCCCATTGGAGCTGGATGGTTAATAAATTCAAATAAATAAAAAAAATACCAACCAGGTTCATCAAAGTATACTTATTTTTAGGACTAACATGAAATCTTAGAACTGACTTTAAGATTTTTGTCTTTATCAGTAGGTCAGATCTACAGAAGGGAGTACATCTAAAAGCATATTCCTGCAATTAAAGCAGACGTGTATTTTAAGAATGTCTTAATAACCTTACTGTTATACTTCCTCCTTAGCAAAATGAAAAAAACATCAGTGGCCAGTACTTCCAAGCAATTGGAGGCACTTACCCTGCAAGAAGGAAAAACAGATTCTCGGCTTCAGCACCTCTTTGAACTTCAGAACCTCTTTGAATTCAGTTGCCCCAACTCAACAGGGTTGGAAACTAAGACATTCAGAGAAGCACTGCAACAAATCCCCCCTGGTATGTGATTGATTCTGATATGTAAGATGGAGTCATATTTTGATTGTAGTTGGCAAGTATCACCATTCTGAAAAGGAAAACAGTTCTCAGACATTAAAGAAGGCTTCTCAGGGATGTGCACTAGTATTGTGTGCGTGTGCGTGTGCACGCGTGCCTTCCAGTCAGCCTTGACTCGTGGCAACTGCCTGGTCAGGTCCCTGCAGTTTTCTTGGCAAGGTTTTTCAGAAGTGGCTTGCCCTTGCCTCCTCCCTAGGGCTGAGAGAGGGACTGGCCCAAGGTCACCTAACTGGCTTCCATCCCTAAGGCAGAATTAGAACTCACGGCCCCCCAGTTTCTAGCCTGGTGCCTTCATCACTACACCAAACTGGCTTTTGTGCATTAGTACTACCATGGCACAACAAATGTTCAGTTTTGTTGGTGTGGTACAGGGATGGGACGCTGAGATATTGCATATATTGTCTAAAGACACCTCTCATTATCTGTCATCGTTGGCAGTGCTGATTGGAGCTACTGAGATTTGCAGTTCAGCAACAACGACTGCACCACTTGTTAGGAATTGGAAAAGGACTAGGTGATATAGAGTTAGGTGAGCCAAGTTCTGTCCTGCCCATTTTTTCTCAACCGTTTATGGACATTTTCTTATTGCTCTAGCTTTTTGGGACTAAAAAATACAGGGTTTAAGGAGGAGAGTGATGAGCGGAGATGATGGCTAGAAGGCCTAGTTCAAGATATTGGGCTACAGTTTTGCCTGTGTTATGCTTTGGCAAAGAAAGACTTGTTTTAACCATAATATGGTTTCCTCATTACATTTTCTCCCTTAAATAAGTAAACTGGAATCTTTTGCTGTCTCCTTCCTAGGGGTCACAGTGTGCATAATGACTCTGGTGAGCATCCAGCCAGGGGCTGTTGGAGACATCCTCTTGTTGACAAGGTTAGAGAAAGGCGCCACCCCTGTGAACATCCAGATACAGACCCTGCATGCCAAAGTAAGAACAGTGAGAAGGAGGACTTCAAATGGTAACTTTCTGGACATGGGACATGTTCTGCCTCATAATGCCCGTTTTTTTCAGGTATCCTTAAGTGCAGTTCTAAGTGAACTCGAAGCCATCCTGCAAAAACAAAAAGAGATCTCAAATTTCACAGAGAAGGAAGACTGGTGGACTGGTCGGATTGCACTGGACAAAAGAATGATGGTGAGGTCTGCTATCCCGCAGCACGTAGTTCTTTTTAGACGAAGGGCCTTTAAGTGTTGCACTGGAGGCCATGCTACAAAAGTAGGCTAAAACAGAAGCTACATTTGATTTAAGGTCTATTTAACTAAAATTAATTCAATTTAGTATACTTGTTCTGCATATACTAAACTATTTTCCTCCTTCAGTCAAATTAAAATTTGCTGTTCGGTGTCATATTGGTGGCTTCATCTCTGCTCTGTAGTTTGCAAGGAATATAATGCTAACCTTTATGTTCGTGATCCTCTGGACATAGGTTGTGCTGACTGGTGATGATGAGATTGATAATCTAAGCACATGTAAAGGGAGCTACATTGGACATAGTTGGGCTACTTACAAGCTTCAACCTTTCTGAGTTGGCATCAACAATAAGTATGAGAAGAGGAGGTCAGGAGTGTCAGGATTTCTTGCTGTCTTGACTGTGCGATCACATCTGATTCCTTCATGCTGTGTTCTTCCCTGTTCTTCCCCCTCCCCTATGCTACCTATACACATGTAGTGCACCCCTACAGCTTTCTGCCTTTGGGGGGAGTCAGAATCAGGTCAAAGGGCAGCTCTTCCAAATTATACTGCTGTTGTGCTGCTTGCCCTCCCATGTTGGAAGGACTCTTCTGCTTCACTCCACAGGCTTTGGTGGATTCTCTGGAGACACATGTGCTGAGCTGCTGGAAGAGCGCACTACTACCAGCCTGTGTGAATGACAGCTTGGTGGAGGAAGCCTCCCATCTTCTAACACATCTCAGGGAATGTGGTTGTGAAGAGGTAGATCTAGCATTGCTCAAGGTGAGGAGTTGGGCAGACTTTGGCCATGGAAGGTGTAGCTAGCCAGGTACATACTGGCTTCATGGGGTGATCCCTTTTTTCAAATATGTACCAATAAAATGATTTTACAAATGAATATGAGTGTGTGTGTGTGTGTGTGTGTGTGTGTGTGTATTCTGTCTGCACACCTTCAGAATTTTAATAAGCCTGCAGTATTTTCTGTCTCAACTGAGAAATCAGCAGTGTTTTTAATTCCAATTGCCTTTTTGTTTTCTACTGCTGTTTTCTGTTCATCATATCAGACAGCCCTGGACATGGGAATTTCTTTTTTTTTTTTTTTTCAGGTCATACTGACTGGATCCCATCTATTAACTCCACAACATGTGGAGCACTTGGTACGGGGGCTTCATCCAGCAAAACCTGAGAGAGCCCTGAGCCTTCTACAGGAGACAGTGGACAAACTGAAATCATATACTGCCCAGGCATCAAGTGGCCACCTGGTCCTTGTGCTGGATAAAGTGAGTAGAAGATGGTGCCATACTATTTTACAGCAGGGATGAGCAAAGGGCAACCTCAGGGCTGCATCCTTGTATTGTGCAAGAGGCTGCTACCTGGATAGTCTTCCCATGGAAACATGTAAAAAGGTTCATCATGAAATATTCTGATCTCCTAAGTGTGCCAGGACTGGCCCAACAACATACCATATTGTTGACTTGCTTCATCCAAGGGATGGATGGATGGATGGATGGATGGATGGATGGATGGATGGATGGATGGATGGATGGATGGATGAATGATTAAATTTGTATGCTGCCCATCTCCCCCAGTGGGAGGAGATGTTTCATGGAGGGGGAACTGAACTCTTGATCCTTCTTTGCAGCACCTCCAGAAGCTTCCCTGGGAAAACATACCATGCTTAAGAAATCAGTCAGTAACCCGGTTACCATCTCTGCACTTTCTGCTTAGCTACTCACTTACAAAAAAGGTGAGGTATCTGTACCTTTCTAGGAGGAAAGAGAGCTTGATTCAGACGTTCTTTTGCATCACCCTTTCTTGATGCACTTAATAGTGACTTTAAACTGTAATAACTAAATAACAGTTCTTTTGCATCTCTGATTTCTGCCTTGTTATTGAAGTCCAGAAGGAAAAGGAGTGCTTAACAAATGCTAGGATACACTATTTCACAAGACTCTGTGGACCTTTTTAGGAGATAGTATTCATTTCCTTGCTTCCTCTGTGGCATGAAGATTGACTCACTTAAACTGGACAGTGCAATTAGCATCAAAGCCTCCGTCTCTGATTTGTATGGATTAGGGATTAGTTCCGATGGATGAACAAAAATTGATTGAGAGTCACCTAGTTCTGATTCTGTCTTGAGCTAAGAGAGCTAGCATAATTTCTGCAACTCAATTTGTTGACTTGAGTAAGTCAGTTTGCAGACTGAAATGGATTAATGTAGGCTGCTGTTAGTCACAAAAAGGAACAATAAACTTTCCATGAAAGTGATATATTGCTAACAAGAAGCCACAAGTTTTTTTTAAAGAATTTATATGCAACGTTTCCCCAAAACAGTTACAATAACAATTAAACAGACTTTTAAAAGACTGAACAATATTAAGGGAAACTAAGGAAGACCAAGTAAAGTTATCTAAAATATAGCAGTATTAGGCTTGGTGTACGGCAGATAAGAGGTCATTCCAAAGCACAGGTATACTTTGGGGAAGACCTGCCTCCATGTCATCACCAAGAAGCAATTTGCTAGCCAGAGTATGAAGAACACAGTGGCCTTCCCTGAAGTTCATTAGTGCTTTTAGGGCTGATAATAGAAGACACACACAAAGTCACACACTTGCTTCTCAAGGACCTTGGATACATCGAGAGAGAGTCCTCACATGCTAAAATCAGTGTCTGATTTCATGGTGCTTTCTCCCCCATCTAATGAAGCAACTATTCTGATCTCCCTCAAACAGTATCAGGAAGAGACTATCCTCAACCATGGTGTCAATAACAGCAGCACCTTCTATGTTCTGAACCCACACAAAAACCTTCCTGGCACAGAGAAGATGTTCAAAGAATGGTTTCAAAGGTAGGTATCTGTACTTGTGTACATCACACAGATTTTGGATCCTTCAGGGAAGGCAGAGCATCACATAATCTGTCACCAGGCTTCCCTTTGAATAAAGGGGGCTTGCCAGGTTGACACAACTAAACTCACTCCAACTGATACTTTCTTTTTTCTCTGCTTACTACTTGATAGTGAGCCTGGATGGACAGGAGTGGTGGGACAGGTTCCCAGTACAGACCAAGTACCATTGGCCCTTGAAGAACGTGATCTCTATATGTGAGTACATGACTGAGCTTCATATTCTACATAGTGCTAGCAAAAAGTTTGAATGCTTGGATGAATTGCAAATAGACAACTTGCATACTGGAAGCTATTGAAGCAGAAAGGAAGTGGATTCTGAGTCTGACTTATCAGCTGCTCTGGGAGAATATATTTTTCTTGGTTATGCTCTTAATTGCAGATGTTCTTGATTTTAAAAAAATAGATACAGTAGATCTCAGTAGCTACAGAGGATCATTAGAGAAGCACTAGTCATAGTCTGAAGTATGTGACCAGAGGAACAGAGAAAGCAGAAAAACAGAAAAGTAAAAAGCGCTCAGGAATAAAACATTTTTCTCTGAATGTATTAAACACTGTTTTCTGTTCCTTAAGTCTTGACATATTTAAAATCCAGAAAATAATTATGCAAAATCAAAATATCCCAAAGAAGTAGTAACTTCAGCCTTATGGGGAAGGAAAAGAGCTCCCCTGCCATAACTATATTTTGGGCTACTTACAGTGCTGGAAATTCCTTGATTTCCTCCCCCCACACTTCCCTCCACCATTCTGGAAAGCCAAGAACATTTATTAGTGTCTTTTATGCCCCTGTGTTAAATAACAAGATAACCCACAAGCTTATCCTGAAGCGTATAGTCCAAACCTAGCCTTTCACAAAAATCACACTACCTGGGAGTCTAGATTAATCTTCAAGGAAAAGGGAACTGTGGGCACAGGCAGAGAATAGCAGGTCAGTTCCTCCTGCAAGAACACATTTAAGTGATGTGTTCAATTCAGCTGGGAGGTTTAGGCTTATTGTAGCCAATTTCTGAATGAAGGGAGAAGTTCTCTTAGCAGACCTAGTTCTTTTGCCAGTGGCAAGGCGAGAATGCCAGAGGGAAAGAGGAGTCTCCTTGGGTGGTTAGCGAAGCAGGTGGTAACCCTGCTGCTTCTTTAAAGCACACACACACACATACACACACACACTCTCTCACCCTTAGTGAAATATAACCACCAGAAGATATGAAGTACCGTCAAAAATATAACAGTGCTAATAAAATCAGAAGAGAATATACAGAGTATTGATTAAATGCGTGACATCTGAAGAAATTAAAAATATATCCATGAAATGCTAATACTGTATAGAAGTAGCTCAAACATTTAACCTATTACTAAATCTAGTCATATAGACCATCTATTGTTCATCTTCCCAGTTTTGATACAATATCTTATTTCAGTGCAAATATATTTATATAATATACTTAGATTCTTAGTATTCTATTATTTAGGTACCTAGAGTATTGACTATAGATAAGAGAAAGAAAAAGTCGATATTCTATCAGTATTAATTACAGTTTTGAATATTAATATTACAAGCGTTGTGATTATTTGACTTTTTCTTCAGAATTAAATATAGCATTGGAAATGAAATGAGAAAATGAAGAAAGAACACACATCAAAGTATTTATTTTATAATAGAGGTTTCGGTCTTAAGCTAAATTACTTGATATCAGAGTTTCCATGTGTAGAGTATGAGTGTATATATGTGTGTTTATACATATTAATAAAGGAAAATGAATGAACCAACCCCGCTGTTTTGATTTGCTGGAACCTAGCCTCTTGCTCCCTTTTGCCATGGTCAACTTGAGCAAAAGAGGGAATACAGGTAGTCCCCGGGTTAAGAATGCCTGGTTTACAGATGACCCATAATTAAGAACGGAGCCTATTGTAGCAAAATTTGAGTTAAATACACAATGATTCGAGTTAATTACACAACCTTACTTATACAGTATTATACAATAACACTGTCCCAGCTTACATACAAATTCAACTTAAGGACAAACCTTGGGAACGGAACTCATTCTTAAACTGGGGACTGCCTGTACAGCCTTCTGATGATGTGATTGAGTGGGCCAGCATTTTAGAGGACTTCCTGTTTTCAGTTTCTAGTAAAGGTGCATTATTTAGCGTTCAGATCTGCAACTGAATAGGAAACGGAGGCTGTTGAGAAGTTGCCTAATGGGAATCTGCCTTCGTTTTTGAGGTGTCTATTTTTTCTTCTTTTAGCTATGCTGGTCACGGTGCAGGTGCACGCTTTGTGGATTCCATCTTAAAAATGGATTGCAAGGCTGTGGCTCTTCTTTTTGGCTGCAGCAGTGCTGCTCTAGCAGTACAGGGCAACCTGGAGGGAACTGGTGCTATCCTCAAGTTCATCATGGCAGGATGGTAAGTTGCTAAAACCTTTGCTAGCTCAGCTTGGTATTTGGCCTGAATCATAGGCCCTAAATCCTGAGATACTGGCTTCCAAACTATGATGGGGAGAAAACAGAGTATATACATGAAGCCACTACTTGGGAAATCTTTGTTATCCCAAGGCTGCAGGAGCAAGGAGACATCATTCAACATTGTTCACCAGGGCCAAAACATATTGCAATTATGATTGTGAGTGAGGATCTGGTAAAGATCTCCCACTTATTTTTCACTCTAGATGACAAATACATGGGCATCCCCACAGCAGAATTCTCTCCCTGGATCCTGTGGTACCTCAAAGGAGGAGATGGGAGGTGCAGAGCTATGCTGAGACTATCCTTTGCCTTCTTCCCCAAATAGCTGCCTGAGTTTGAATATAATTCCAAATTTAACCCTGAAAATTTTCACACCATTGGCAAAGGATATTTTGGGTTTGTTTGTTCCTGGAATGCCTTATTTTATTCCTTATCTGTGGCTGAACAGGAATTTCTCTTAGTCAAATGAGCATCGCAATCCCTGAAAGTATGCCTGTAGGTATGTGTGTAAGAAAGACTCGGTGTCTGGTGCAAACGTTCTTGTGGTTTCTCCAGCAAGCATTTTTTGCAAGGCAAATAGTGTTTATACTGTCATTCTGTATGCACAATTGGACTCTTGCATGGATTGTACCTTTTCAAAAAAAAAGCATAAGCTTGAGGGTCTTTTGATACCATTTGGGTCTATATTCTTTTTCTTCAATCTTTGCAACTCCCAAAGTACAGGGTTTTTATCCCTATTATTAGAAACAAATCCACAAATAGGATTTGAGGACAGTATAACATATTTTAAAAATCCCAGTGCCATGATGAGACAAGTTAGGGTTCAGTTGCTGCAAATGAGAACAGTGTCATCAAATGACAGCTTATGAAATGCTTGATGCAGGCCTAGGTATTACTCAAGCAAACATTTTGCTCTGTTTTGCCTACCAGTTGACATATCCAGGATTCTGTTATAAACATGACTTGTGGTCACCTGCTTCTTTCCCCTCCCTTGTTTTCCAGTCCCCTAGTGCTGGGTAATCTCTGGGATGTGACAGATCGAGATATTGATCGCTACATGCAGGCGCTTCTGAACAACTGGCTCAAGGCAGGGTCTGGAGCCCCTTTGCTGCAGTATGTCATTGAATCCCGTCAGGCTCCCAGGCTCAGATACATGATTGGAGCTGCTCCCATTGCATATGGCTTACCAGTATTCCTGAAGTAGAAAACTTAACAAAAGCATGGGATCTGGCTTACCACGGGAAAAAATTGAAGGGGGTTGAATGAATGTATTCTTAAGTTTTGAACTGCCTTAAGTATAAACTGCCTTTAACTGCATTTAAGGGGAAAGGATAAACATTTGACCTATGCATGTATGTTTGGTCACCGTCTGCCATGCCTTTTTATTGTAGAAGGCCTACATCGCCCTTATAGAGGAATCTACGTAAGCTGCTATCTTTTGGGATATGTATCACATTTGTACAGAGTAAATTTACAACAATTATTGTAAGTTATTCTTAAATCTATTTGTATTTTAATGTTTCAAAACCTCAATAAAGGTTAAAAGCAAATAAATTCTGTATATGGATGCAGCCAATCCTGAACATGGGATATGGGGTATGTTCTAGTCTTGACTGAGGAGCTGACTTGACTAGGCTTAGGTGACTGAGCTCTGAAGTTAGTGTGGGAATAGGTAACAGTCCTGCCAGACTTTGTATTACAACTCTCAGCAGCCCCAGCCAGTATAGCCATTCATTAGGGATGCTTGGGAAGCCATGTAATTTATTTGTATTCTACTAGACAGCTTATACACCCTTCCTTGGAGTTTTATTTATAGTTCTACCCTTTATTATAGCCTTTTTTACATTATCAGTTATATCAGATAAGAGTTTGGGGGGGCATATACTTGAAAGTGGCTGCTAATAAATGAGTTGGTAAAAAGGTGCACAGCTGCATTAATATGTACAGATTCTATGTTTTCTTTTGGTATTTCTTTTGGCACAGAAATTTCCTTTTTAAGTGCTGACTAAGCAAGGTCTTGAGTGTATGAGCAGCAGACCAGAGCTGGAGAAATTATTTCGTGTAATATGGGAAATTAACTCCTACCTGTTTGTTCTCCAGATCCCTGACTCCATGTCAGAGCCTCTGAAGTAAGTTTCCAGAGGCTCTGACATGGAGTATGGTTTATTTCAAGTTTCATAATTTGCTTAAAAATTGAGCAACCTTGATCGGTATGAAGTCCTCAGTTTTTGCACTGGGATCCTCTTGCTTTTGATCTTATGTAACCTTCATGTCCAGGGATGTCAGTAGATGTAATCTCTGTGCATAGGCAGGTAGAGAGAGACAAGCCCTCCCAACCATCAGAAGTTCAAATCCAAATAAATTGCTTTCCTGAATGATTATTTCTTCTACAGCTCCTCAGATCTAAGAAGGGGATATTCAGTCAGGATGTCAGATGGCGCTGCATTCATTTTTAGTAAAAAACTAAATATTTTGTTGATCAGTACTTGAAAGGCACAGGTTACTTTCTGAAGCAATCTTGACCTTTATTACCCGGTCTGGTGTGCCCCAGTAAGCTACACTGGATCAGATAAGTTACTTGGTTGACCAGGAGAACAGGAGTTGCCGGTACAGCACATCTGGAGGAGACTACAGGGGACGGCTATATTACAAGCACCTGCTTTACAGACTTCAGTTACCAAACTTGACTATTCACAGCCTTTTGCATGCAATCTGCTACACAACATTACAAAAGATATGCAAATTGTTTTAGTACAATTTCAAAGCTGACTTTTAACACTTGAAGAACCACCTAAGTCACTCTGTTAGAGAAAAAGTAGAAGTGGGTCAATTAATAAAAAGTTTGTTTTCCCCCTTTGGTTTATGGTTGAATTTTAATACATATCATGCACATGTTCACAGAATAGGACACTATAAAACGTTCTTCACAACTTTTATCGCTAAATGAACATGGCATTATTTCCAAAACCCGTGTGGAATGCCAACTTCTTAGCCGCCTGCTTTCTCTCTCATCGGTCTGGTAGCACATTTTTCAACTAACGAATGCTATTAAAATGCTTTTTGATAAATAAATGCATTTTAATAACATTTGAGTCAAAACAGGCTGGCAGGCTCCTCTCCATTGGTTGCCGCTAGAGTCCAACACGGCTGTCCTATAGTGTGCTGTAGTCAGTTCCCGGGAGCCCGAAGACACTGGGCACAAGAGGCTCTAAGCAGTAAACGAGCGAGCAGACTGAGGCTGCGGTTAGACGCTGCAATGCAACGAAGACCTCAGCTGCCCTCCAGATGCGTTGGGCCGCCCCTCGCACCACCCCCAACCAATGGAGATGGTGTCTGAGAACTTGTGGGAGCTGCGAGAGCCTCGGGAAGTGGCGGCAGCGGGCTCATCTTTCCTAATGGGGGACGTTCAGAGATACAAGCGAAATTGGGAGGCCGAAGAAACCGGACTCAAATCGTTTTCATAGCCCGTCCAAAGAAACTAAACGGAGCTCCGATTTTTATTTATACGCTCCGACACAGCCCCCAGCTGAATGCACGTTGAGCGCTTTTTTCATACCTCGAGAACAGCGCTTCCACCCTCTAAGGAGAATGGGGGCGTGGCGTTCTGAGCCGTAAGGGTCTTTCTATTGGCTGGGCAGGGCGGGCCTTTCGGTCGGCCGTGAGTCACAATGGGAGCCTTGATCATAGACTCCGGCAGCTAGAGCGAACGTCACTGCCCGCCCGAGGTGGCGCGCGGAGGAATCTCGCCGCCTCCTAAGATGGCGCAGCAGGTGAACATCTCGGAGCTCTCCCTGCCGCAGCTGGAAGTGTTGAAAAACCAGCTGGATCAGGTGAGGAAGCGGGGGGTGGGTGTAGTGTAGCTCGTCAGGACAGCTGCCTGGACAGGAGGAGACTCTTGATCAGCTCCGTGTGAAATAATGTGGCCTTTTCGAGACGTAGAACGGAGGTCCCCCACTTGGCGGCCTCCAGAAGCTCCCATCTCCCCCAGGGATCGGGGAAGAAGGTGAGAGTTGGGAGCCAGAGGGCCTAGAGGGCTCCCGGTTGGGGTAGATGTTCAGGGCTGGGCCCGCTTGTTCGAAAGAAAGACCCATTGGACTTAGTATTATCCCCAGGCGAGTTTGGGTAAGACTGCAGCCGTCACGACCTTCTCTGAATCTCCAGTGAAGAACAGAGAGGGAGAAGGAAGGGAAGAAGAATGGGGAGGCGACCTTTTAGCCGGGTAAGAGGTTTTTCTCTGTGTCCATCACGGGCCGTCGTCTGGCCCCAGCGGTCTTTGTCTTCTAACGTTCACTGTTAAGTTCTGCGCGATGGCACAACCTCCTGTGGCCGCCTGGAACCTCTGAGCCTCCAGGCTCTGCCCGTTGTATCTTGAGGTCTGAACCTCAGGAGCTGGGCAACTCATAACTTCGCCTCAAATCTGGATGGTTTCTGCGTGGAATTGTGTATGAGTATATAGGAGTGTACATGAGAAGGGGACTTACATGCTCTCCAGCTTTGGGTTTTACATAGCATGCTATGTAGCACCTCACTCCATCACTCCTTTGAAAAGTCAGCATTTTCCCTTGGAAATACCTTGCTTAATTCAGCTGTTTGGAGCCACTATGCTTTTCCTTCCCCTCTTTCCCCAAAAAACATACATGAAACTGGTTTTTTGGGGGGGGGTTGTCACTTAATTTCAGATGTGGTAGGAAGATCAGGTAGAAATCATCATGTCCCACTTCTTCTCAAATTGAAGACACTGAATAATTTCCCCCCTCCATAAATAATAATTTTATATAATACTTCTTTAATCTTCAGAGTGCTTCACATATATTTTCTCCATCATTCCTACAACATTCTGGTGGGGGTGTGGCGATTGTCATCTGGGAGTCTTTTACGGCTTTCAGGGGTGCCGCACCACAGGTCACCAGTTGTGAGACCCTGTTCATTAAGTTGGGCTTAGTTATATATCTCTGTCCCTGGTGAATTAAACGATGCTGTGAACGTTTTATCCCGGTGCCTGGAGGCTGTGAGGGTCTGGATTGGGAACAACAGGCTTCAGCTGAACAAGACAAGACTGAGTGGCTCTGGGTTTTGGGGCCAACTGGTTCCAGGACTATATCATCTTTAGTACTGGATGCGGTAGCACTGCCCCAGACAGACCGAGTGCGCAATCTGGGGGTCCACCTAGACTCTTGACTCCTCAAAGAGCAGGTGGCAGTCATGGCTAGGAGGGCCTTTGCACAGCTTCGTGTTGTGTGCCAGTTGCACCCATTCCTGGATTGGCAGGCTCTGCTCACAATCACTCATGCCCTAGTCACCTCCAGATTGGACTACTGTAATGCACTGTACATGGGACTGCCCTTCAAGACTATCTGGAAGGTTCAGCTGGTACAGAATGCAGCAGCGCAGGCAGTTATGTGTGCTCCTAGAACAACACATGTTACACCTCTGCTCTGTGAGCTGCATTGGTTGCCAGTCTGCTTCCAGGTCCAATTTAAGATTTAACCTTTAACAGTTTTAACCTTTAAAGCCCTTCATGGCATGGGACCGGGTTATCTGAGGGACCGCCTCTCCCCAATTACATCAGCCCACCCAATTAGATCTGGCAGAGAGGACATGCTATGGATACCATTGGCCAAAGACTTACATTTAGTGGGTCCCCAGTGGCGGGCTTTCTCTGCCTCGGCATCCACCTTATTTATTATTAATCAAATTTATATGGCTGCCCATCTCACAAAAAGTGTCTCTGGGCAGGATACAACAAGCCAATAAAACAAATATATAAAACATACATTGCCTAAAACATTATATCATAATTATTAAAAAGCATTAAAAACTGTAAAAGCGGAACTAAAACAGAAAAAAAAAATAGAGGGATGTTAATAATACAGGAATGCTGAATTCCTGATTTGCTGAAATATATTTATAAGGAATTCTATTCTATTCTAATGGAGTTCCAGTGAGTTCAAAGCCCAAATAATCTTCCCAGAGTTTTTTAAAAATTAGGTATTTTTTCTTCCATGAACAGAAGGAATCCTCCATGTGGCAAGAATTACCTACATTAAGAAATTCTTCCCCAAAGCCCATATGATATCCCTTTTCTGAGGAGACCAAACAAGTGCGTAAAGCAACCTGAACATTTTTACATGATAATGTTTAAAGCAGTTTTCTATGCACAATTCTTTCATTCATTAATTTGCCCGAGCTGACTTCACGAACTTATTAAAGTTTTCATTGAACGTAACAGTTTCTTTCATTGATATAAAGTAGAGGAATGCCAATATAATGATGGGTGATCTTTTTGCATTGTTATAAAACAGGAAAATACTGCAAAACTGCACTAAATATTTATACATAAATACTTATGGAACATTCTCCACTCTCCCCGCCCCAACATTAGGTTAGCTCCATCCTGCCTGACATTCTGAAAGCCCCTCAAGACCTGGCTACGTCACCAGGTCTGGGGGTCCTAGGGAAACAGAGATATATTTAGATGGCTCCACTATTGAGGTGGACATACTCATTTTCTCTCTGCCCAGGGTTTGTATATTTTATTCTTAATAATATTTAACTTTTAAATACTGATTTTACATTTTATATGATTGTTTATATATGCATGGTTTTTTATCTGATTGTTGTAAACTGCCCAGAGTCGTTTTTTGTGAGATGGGCAGCCATATAACATTGATAGATAGATAGATAGATAGATAGATAGATAGATAGATAGATAGATAGATAGATAGATAG